TAAACCCTAAACCCCAAACCCCAAACCCCAAACCCTAAACCCTAAACCCTAAACCCTAAACCCTAAACCCTAAAACCCTAAATCCAAAACACGGAACTCCCAAAACCCCGATACCCCTAAACCCTAAACCCTAAACCCTCAATCCTACACCCACCCTCAGCCCTAAGCCCAAAACCCTAAACCCTAAGGGCCCAAACCTGAAGCTAGACCCGAAAGCCCAGACCCAAACCCTAAGCATCCTGGTTCTTAAAGCCCAAAGCCGCGTGGCCACGGAAGCCGCACGACTCTGACCCCCTGAGCAAAGTAGCAAAGAGGGTTTGGAGGGTTTCGGTCCTTGGGTTAGGCCATGGTTCAGGGCTCAGGGGTTGCGGGTGTAGGGTGTAGGGCTTTAGTGTTGGGGCGGTTCAGGGGGTTTTGGATTTCGGGGGTGGAGTTTCATAGGGTTCTTCCAAGGGGCACCCCGCAAGAATCTACGGGTAGTTTCATGGGCCCTTTTTATGGTCCCCAACCTCCCTCAAGGCGGTTCTGAGGTATGGGCCCTTAATTTGTGTAGATGATAGAAGAAATATATAAGGGGTCCCCTTTTAAGTGCCCATACTAAGCCCTTAATTTGTATAGATGATATAAGGGGTATATAAAGGGGTCCCCTTTTAAGTGCCCATACGAAGGGACCATGAAACGGCCCGAGCGCAGCCGGCCCCCACAACGCTCCTCAAGCCCTGAGCTGCATTCTTTGGGCTTAGGTAGGGGCTTTAGGGCGAAATTGAACCGCTTAACCCTGTTTAGCCCTGATGCCCCACACCCTAAACCCCAAACCCTGAACCCCCAAACCCAACAGACGGACCAGGTAACTTCGACGAGTTCCGAAAGGCCCGGCGAATTTCCTCCGACGAGGCCTCGGGAATCCAGTCAGGCGTTCCCGTGATTCGTTCGGCTTTGGGTTCGTGGAACACTAAACGCTCCCTTGGGATTTAGGGCCCCTAAACCCTAAGCCCCAAACCCAAACCCTAAACCCCTAAACCCTAAACCCCTCGACCCTACACCCTAAACCCCTAACCCCTAAACCCCTAAACCCCTAAACCCTAAACCTTAAACCCTAAACCCTAAACCCTAAACCCTACACCCTAAACCCAGGAGGCCGAGGCCATCCTCTTAGGGCGTCACAACTTCGACAACGACGCAGAGCCCGAGGCATTTTGTTTTTTGGGCGGTTTAGGGTTTAGGGTTTAGGGTTTGGGGTTTAGGGTTTAGGGGTTAGGGGTTAGGGGTTAGGGTTTGGGGTTTGGGGTTTTTGGGGTTTAGGGTTCTTGGGGCTTGGGGTTTAGGGTTTTTGGGGTTTAGGGTTCTTGGGGCTTGGGGTTTAGGGTTTTTGGAGTTTAGGGTTCTGGGGGCTTGGGGGTTAGGGTTTTTGGGGTGTAGGATTTTGGGGGTTTGGGGAGGTTTTGGGGGGATTTTGGGGGGGTTTGGGGGGTTAGGGGGGGCTTTGGGGCTTTGGGGGTTTGGGGTTTAGAGCCCCGAACAAGGTCTCAAAGCCCCGAAAAATCTGTTGGGTTTAGGGTTTAGGGCAAGTTTTTGGGGGCAAGCTGCGTCGGGCTGGCTTAGGGCTTCATTTTTTTTTCGTGGGGGTTTTCCTCTTCTGTGCTTAGGTTTTTTCGGCCAGGTTTTTGCGGCTTTTTGGCGTTCTGAAGTTCGATTCGAAGCTTATGCAGCAGTTTTGCTCCAATCTGAGGGTTCTTCCCTGGGCTTTAGGGGGCGCCTTATGCTTTAGGGCTTTTCTGTAGGGCTTTAGGGCTATATATAGGGCTTTGGGGCTTTAGGGCTTTAACTTAACTGAAGTCTCAGGGCGTTGGGGGTTGGGGGCAGGGTTTTAGGGTTTTTAAGGTTAAGGTTTTAGGGCCTAGGGTCGAGGGCTTAGGGTTTAGGGTTTAGGGTTTCAGGTCGAGGGCCGCTTAAGCGCTGCACCCTGAGGAGGTCGCCGAAGATGAGGCCGCCCACAAGGCCAGCGGTGGCGTGGCCTCGGCCGTCTTCGACAAGGCCTGCGGGCTCGGTATTAGGGTTTAGCTTTCAGGGTTTAGGGTTTAGCGTTTAGGGTTTAGGGTGATTTTTCGGGGTTCTAAGTTTGTGGGAGGGTTTGGGAGTTCGACGACCCTAAGCCCGAAAACCTTAAAACCCTATAGCCTATACCCTAAAACCCTCAACCCTCAAAACCCGAAAAGACCTAAGCCCTAAACCCCAAAACCCTAAACCCCTAAACCCTGAACTAAAAACCCTAAACCCTCAAAACCCTACACCCAAAACCCCAAAACCCTAAACCCGTAAACCCCTGAACCCAAACCCTAAAACCCTAAACCCCAAACCCTAAATCCTAAAAACCCTAACCCTAAACCCCTAAACCCTAAACCACTAAACCCCAAAACCCCAAACCCGAAATCCTCGCCAAACCCAAAACCCCACAACTCAAGCCTTAACCCTAAACCCTAAACCCTAAACCCTAAACCCCGAAGCCCTAAACCCTAAACCCTAAACCCCTAAACCCCTAAACCCCTAAACCCCTTAACCCCCCCCCCGCCCCCTAAACCGCATGCGCAAGGCCTCGAAGATCAGCTTCCCCATCCCGGGCACACTGAAGGGCCACTCCACCGCCCGGCCCGTGATGGAGCTCAAGCGCCTGGGCGTTAAGAGGTTCTAGGGTGTATAGGGCTCAGGGTTGATAGGGTTTAGGGTTCAGGGTGTTTTAGGGGTTTGTAGGGTTTGTAGTATTTACAGGGTTTGAGGTTTGTAGGATTTGCACGGTCTAGGGTTTGTAGGATTTTTTGGGTTTGGGGGTTAGGGTTTAGGGCTCAAGGTCAGTGTTTAGGGTTTAGGGTTTCCAAGGAGTTTGAAGGGTTCTTTATGGTTTATGGGTTTCGACGAGTTGGGGGATGAAGGGTTCGGTTCGGTGGTTTCGCATTGATCCTCAGACCTCTAGGGACTGGGGTTCAGGGTTTAGGGTTAGGATTTGGGGTTCAGGGTTTGAGTTTGGGGTTTCGGGTTTGGGTTTAGGTCTGACGTGTTTAGGGCTTGGGGTTTAGTGTGTAGGGTTTAGGGTTTCGCCATGAGGTTTCGGCATGGAATTGAGCCAGGAACGTCTACTTTGCCTATGACGACGAGGGCCCCATGATTCTGAACCTCGGCTCAGAAGGGGTCAGGGTTTAGGGTTTAGGGTTTAGGGTTTAGGGAACATCCAGAACTAGCGCCCCAACCTTCAAAGAAAGCCCCCGCCCAAGACCCCAAAACCCCACAAGAAACAAGGCTCGTAGTACTGGCATTGGTTAGTGTACATAAGGTTCCTTCTATCGGTGGGTGTATGTTTGGGTGCCCTTTTGGGGATACAAGAAAAACACTACTTCATATGGTTTGTTCTGGTCCCGAGAGTATAGGCTTCTGGGTTGATGCTTGATGCTTCTTTTGGGCGACTTGCGAGGCGGAGGATGCGCATATCCGGGGTATCCGCGCCCTCAAACCATAAGCCTCCAACGGCAAAAATCGCCAGAAGCCCCCCCTTAGATGCCCACAGACTCCAACAATGTTGGGGGTTGAGTTCAGTGTTTGGGTTTTAAAGTCTGGGATTCAGGTTTGGGTTTAGCTTCAATTTGAGGGCGAGGACTGTACGCTGCTTGAGCCTGAAAGGAAAGACCCCAAACCCCAAACCCCAAACCCCAAACCCCAAACCCCAAACCCCAAACCCCAAACCCCAAACCCTACACCCTAAACCCCAAACCCCAAACCCCAAACCCCAAACCCCAAACCCCAAACCCCAAACCCTAAACCCTAAACCCTAAGCCCTAAACCCTAACCCCCCCCCCCCCCCCCCGCCGAAAGGAAGGACATCAGCTGCAAGATCGGCCTCACCAGCCGCATCGGCATCGTGGGTGCCAACGGCGCAGGCTCCAAACCGGAGCCCTGTAACCCCCAAAGCCCTGAACCCTGAACAGGGTTTAGGGTTTAGGGTTTGGGGTTTGGGGTTTGGGGTTTGGGGTTTAGGGTTTAGGGTTTAGGGTTTGGGGTTTATCCTAAACCCCAAACCCGGAAACCCTCAACCCCAGACCCTGAACCCTAAATCCTCAAACCCCCCAAGACCCTAAGCCCCTAAACCCCTAAACCCCGAAGCCCATCTCCAAAGCCCCCCTTGGACCGGGCCGAAATGTAAACCCCAAACCCCAAACCCCAAACCCCAAACCCTAAACCCTAAACCCTAAACCCTGAACCCTAAATCCCTAGCTCATAAGCCCCCACATCCCCGGGGAAGCGCCCTTTGAGGCAAGAGTACGCTTCTCAACGTCCTCTGTGGGGAGCTTTTGCCGGTGCCGGGACCTGACGGCCAGCCTCCTGGCGAGGCCCGCAAGTTTCTTCAAGCGAAATTGGAGGCCTAAGGCCTTTGAGGTGGTGTTTTGGGTTTAGGGTTTAGGGTTTAGGGTTTAGGGTTTAGGGTTGGTTTAGGGATTATATAGGGTTTAGGGTTTAGGGTTTCAGGGTTTCAGGGTTTATGCGTTGAGGGCGTAGGGTTTAGACCCTAAGGGCGTAGGGGATTGTCAGGAATCTTAGGGGATTTTGGGGCTTGGTGCTGGTTAGGGCTTTCAGGGTGTTTGGGGTTCACACGGCGTGGGGGCTTTTGGGATTTGGGAAGCTTGTAGGGCATTTAGGTTACAGGGTCTGTTTCGGGACCCCAAGCCCTTTCCTAAGCCCAGGACCAGACAGCCTGAACCAGTCTTTCTAGCCCCATACTGAAATGCTAAACCTGGAGCCCTAAACCCTAAACCCTAGCCCAAACCCTAAACCCTAAACCCTAAATCCTAAACCCTAAACCCCAAACCCCAAACCCTAAACCCTAAACCCTAAACCCTAAACCCTAAACCCTAAACCCTAAACCCTAAACCTTAAACCCTAAGCCCTAAACCCTAAACCCTGCCCAGGTGTACAAACACCGGAACCTGCGCTTAGCCTACATCGCGCAGCAGCACATGTTTCACCTCGCGGAGTTCATGAACAGCTCCCCGTGCCCTGGTTTAGGGTTTAGGGCTAGGGTTTAGGGTTTAGGGTTTTGGGTTTAGGGTTCAGGGTTTTAGGGTCTAGGGTTTAGGGTTTAGGGACCCCACGCCCAAAATCCTAAAAAGCCTGGGACCTCAAAGTGAGGTTTCAGGGTTCAGGTTCTGGGAATTTCAGGCTTCGAGGTGGTTTTAAGGAAGCTCGGGGTTTAGGGCTTCGGGTAACCTAAGACCCTAAACCCTAAACCCTACCAGCCTTTAGGAAGTTGAGAAGGGCTTCGCGGAACGCAGGGCTCTCACTGGCTGGTACTTTCCTATACACACCCTCCTCAGCCTTAAGCCCCCAAGCCCGGCGCCCAAAATGCCAATTCGCCGGGGCGCAAAAAGGTACGTCTACATCCAGAAGCGGTACCAGAACGGCTATGATGAGGCCGGCTGCGCCAGCTTTTGCAAATCCGAAGGGCTTGAAGTTTTGTGCTTGGTAGCCCAGTGGTACCCTTTACACTTTTTTTGGGTTCTGGGTTCCCTCATAAAGTAACCAACCCAAAGAAGGGTGCCCTTATTATAAGATGGTTACAGGGTTCCCAAGTGTGGCTAAAGGACTTAGGCGGAGGGCTTCGGCTTGTGCTTGGATGATGGAAGACCTCATGCCGTTATCAAGGACCAAGTCTAGAAAAGCCACTCAAAAAGTCCTAAGCCCCGAAAAGCTCAAAACCTCCAAAAACTCAAAAGCCCTAAGCCCCCCAAACCCTAGAGCCTCAAAACCCCTGAGGCCCGGGGCCCATACCCTAAGCCCTAAAACCGCAAACGCGCTCAACCCTAAACCCTAAACCCTAAACCCTAACCCTAAATCCTGAACCCTAAACCCTCAACCCTCAACCCTCAACCCTAAACCCTAAGCCCTCACTACTCAAAGGCCCTAAGCGCCAGAGCCTGCAGGCGTTGCAGCGACGGCTCATGGAGCCGGCAAACGAGGCAGGGTTTCGGGTTTAGGGTTTAGGGTTTAGGATTTAGGGTTTAGGGTTTCAGGTTGGGTGTAAAAAGAGGGGACCAAAATTGAGAGAACTGAACCCTCTTTGACGTATGCTCTCGACCCTCTACGCTCAGGAGGAGGCCAAGCACATCAGCGACCTTGCCCGGAAGTACGGCAAGTATGGCTTCGAGGCATCGTTCTCCAGAAATTCCATGTTGGTACAACCCTAAAACCTAAACCCTAAACCCTAAACCCTAAATGGAATCTCTGGGTTGTGACTTCGGAGGCCGTTGATGGTTTAGGTTGGCGGTTCTGTGAAACTGGCCAGCGCACCTCTGGCCCATTTTCCTGGACGCCCCCAAACGGCCCTAAACCCTAAACCCTAAATCCTAAACCCTAAACCCTAAACCCTAAACCCTAAACCCTAAACCCCAAACCCCAAACCCTAAACCCCCCGCGTGCCCGAAGCCCTGAAGAGGTCGGCAGCATCCAGAGCCGCGTCGTGCGGGGCAACGAGGTCCTCTACGAGGTGCAGTGGAAGGGTGCCGAGCCCGAAGACGTCGATGGCGCTTGAGCCCCTGAGGCCCTAAACCCTAAACCCTAAACCCTAAACCCTAAACCCTAAGCCCTAAACCCTGAACCCCAAACCCTAAACCCTAAACCCTATAATCCCAAACCCCTCAAACTCTAGACCCTAGATCCTGTACCCTAAACCCTAGGCACCCGAAACCTTGAGCACAAAGTCCCAAACCCTGAAGCCCTAAAGCCCTAAATCCAAACGTTGAGGTACCCTAAACCCTAAAAAACCCTAAGCCCGAAACCCTAAACCCCCAATCCTAAGCCTTCCCCACAAAAGCATCCCAAAACCTTAAGCCCTCAGCCCTCAGACTCCAAACTTCTAGACCCTCGAAGCCCAAAGACACCCCGAGCTCAACAACCTTCCTAAGGGGCAGTTCTCAAGTTTCTTTGGGATCTTTCTTTGGGTACCAGAAGCATACATTCCCTTGCCCTCCCAGGCGCCCAAAAGGGGATGGACCCGAATCAAGGGATTCTGGCCTATGAACTGCAATATCCTTTAAAGAAGAGGGGTGGGGGGGTGGGGATCATGCTTCTCGCACGCCCCAAGAGTCTAACTCCTAAACCCTAAAGCCTAAACCCTAAATCCTACCCCCTTGGGCCCAAAGAAGCCGAGGTTGCGATGACCCGAAGCAGAACACCTTCGAGAACCTTACCAAGCTGCCGCTCATCTCTGGGACTTCAACTTTGGGGTAGCCCAGTGGTGCCCGTTTTGTGCCCGTTTTGCCATGAGTTCTGGGTTGGCTCCCTTGTGAATTACGTAGGGCCCTTAGTTTTTGATATGCTTGCCGGGTCTAGGGTTTAGGATTTAGGGTTTAGGGTTTAATGAGGGTGTAGGGTTAAGGGTTTAGGGTTGCTCCGAAGTCGAGGGACAGAACGTTCGGGTTCTCGGGTTGAGGTTGAGGGTTGTTGTGGATACAAAGGGCCCCCCCCCCCCCTACATTCTCTGAACCAGAAAGCCGCCGTAGGAGAGAGGGGGGGCTTTGGGCTTTTTGGGGTGTGAAGTTTGAACACCAAAACGTGACTCAAGGTTTTTTGTTGGGCTTGCGGCCAAGGTGGAAGAAGACCAAACTCTGAATCCTGAAGTCCCAAAACCCCCAAACTTGGAACCCCAAAAAGCCCTAAACCCTAAGACCTTAAGCCCTGATGCTTGACCAGGTCCTCGAAGGGGGCCTCAGGCAATTTTTTGAACCCCACATCCCGTGGGATCTCTCTCCAAAGACCTAAACCTGGAATACGACCGCACCCCACCCCAAACCCCAAACCCCAAACCCCAAACCCCAAACCCCAACCCCTAAACCCCAAACCCCAAACCCTAAACCCTAAACCCGAAACCCTAAGCCCTAAGCCCTAAGCCCTAAGCCCTAAACCCTAAACCCCCAAACCCTAAACCCTAAACCCCCAACCCCCAAACCGAAACGAACATGGCCCCAAAACAACCCGGAAGCCGGTCACGCACACATCTCGCGAGCCGCCGAGGAAGAAGCTTGGTGTCGTTGGCTTGGCGAAGGTGGGTTTAGGGTTTAGGGTTTAGGGTTTAGGGTTTAGGGTTTAGGGTTTAGGGTTTAGGGTTCAGGGTTTAGGGTTTAGGGTTTAGGGTTCCCAAGACTCTGCCTCCACACCCCCAAACCTAAAGCCCTCAACCCTAAGACTCTAAGCCCTCAAACCCTGAACCCTAAAGCCCCCAACCCCTCTTCTCTAAACCCCCAAAACCAAAGGACTCCGAACCCTAAACCCTGATCCTGTTTTGGTTCTTAGGGTTTAGAGCCACCCGGATCCCTAAACCCTAAACCCTAAACCCTGGAATCAAAACCCCTGGAATGTTTAGGGTTTGGGTTTAGGGTTTAGGGTTTAGGGTTTAGGGTTTAGGGTTTAGGGTTTAGGGTTTAGGGTTTAGGGTTTAGGGTTTAGGGTTTAGGGTTTAGGGTTTAGGGTTTAGGGTTTAGGGTTTAGGTAGGGTCTAGGGTTTAGGGTTTAGGGTTTAGGGTTTAGGGTTTAGGGTTGAGGTTTGGGGTTTACGGTTCCAGGGGGGGGAGGACAGTTGAGGGCTTGGGGTTTGGGGTCTGGCTGCCTGGTGTCTCGGACTGCGGCAGCAGTATTCTGCACCTAATAGGGTCCTCAACCCTGAGAACTAAACCCTACAGCCCTTACAGCCCTTTTGAAGCCCCTGACGCCGTTCGAAGCCCATTCAGTTAATGCCCCTGCCCTGAAATCCCTGAAATTCCTGAAGCCCCTGAAAGCCCCCAGAGCCCCTGAAAGCCCCTACAGGCTTAGTAGCTGAATGAATACACTTTATACTTTTTGGGATGCTATAATCCCCTATAGGACTGAACGTATACACTTTTGGGGGCGTATGAACTCAGCAATTTAGCAGGCCTACGACGAGCGCGTGGCAGCGCAGACCGCGGGTATCGACCAGCGGCCACTGACGCAGAAGGAGACTCTGCGGTGGAAGGGATGGAGGGTGGAGCTATTAAGGTTTAGGATAAAGAGTTCAGGGTTTTAGGGTTTGGGGGGGTACAGGCTTTTAGGGTGTAGGGATTAGATTTGGAAGCCTTGAGCTAAACCTCAAACCCTAAACTGTAAGCTCTAAACCCTAAACCCTAAACCCTGAACCCTGAACCCTAAAACCCTAAACCCTGAACCCTGAACCCTGAACTTGAAGGGGTTTGAGGGCTTCAGCTAACGGGGAGGTAGGAAGTTCGACAGCTCAGCGAGTCGGGGAGAGTTCGGGTTGTTGGAGTTTGGGGGTTTAGGGGTTTAGGGGTTTAGGGTTTAGGGGTTTCGGGGTTAAGGGTTTAGGGTTTAGGGCCCGAAGCCCTAAACCCGAAAATTCAAGGGCCCTAGAAGGCTTAATCGAGCTTCCGGGAGCTTTTCGTGCTAATTGGAGTTGGAGCTTTCGGGTCCAGATCAGACCATCACCGTGCCAGGGTTTAGGATTTAGGCGGGTTTGGGGTGTAGGGTGTAGGGATTAGGGTTTAAACAGCTTAGGGAGTTTAGGAAGTTTAGGCAGTTTAGGAGGTTTCGGAAGTCTAGGAAGTTTAGGAAGTTTAGGAGGGTTAGGAGGTTCAGGAAGTTTAGGAAGTTTAGGGTTTGCTGAGGATTCAGGCTTTGAGGTTCAGAGCCTAGGATTTAGGCTGCTCAGCCGCGACGCTGCCACACGGCTGGTGCGAATGCGCATGCGGCCGGATTATAGCCCTAAACCCTGAACCCTAAACCCTAAACCCCTAAACCCCTAAACCCCTAAACCCCTAAACCCCTAAACCCCTAAACCCCTAAACCCCTAAACCCAGATGTGGCATTGCGACCGCTGCAGACCCGGCGTCAGCCTCCTCACAGCCAGGCCGTGTGCCAACAGGCGGTGGTCCTCAGCCTAAGGTGTGGGAGGAGGTCTGGAATGGTTGTTTAGGGTTTAGGGTTTAGGGTTTCGGGTTTAGGGTTTAGGGCTAGGGTTTAAGGGTTTAGGGTTCAGGGTTCAGGGTTTAGGGTTTAGGGTTTAGGGGTGTAGGGTTTAGGGTTTAGGGCTACTGACTCAGACTCCTGGAAGTGGGCTCGGACCCAGGAGTCGGCTCCAGAGGAGGCGCAGCCCCAGAGGCACGGGAGCCTGCGGCCCCAAGCCCTAAACCCTAAACCCTAAACCCTAAACCCTAAACCCTAAACAATAAACCCTAAACCCTTACACCATACCATGACATTCCATTCCAAAATGTCTAAACTCCCCAGCCCCGAGCCCCAAACACTAAACCTCAAACAAAAGACACAACCTAGACCTTAAACCCTAAACCCTAAACCCCAAACCCTAAACCCCAAACCCTAAACCCTAAACCCTAAACCCTAAACCCTAAACCCTAAACCCTAAACCCTAAACCCTAAACCCCCAAACCCTAAACCCCAAACCCTCAACCCTAAATATATCCTAAACCCCCCCCAAAAAAGCTTCTGATGTCCCAGGAGATCGTGAAGCATCTCGAGCAGTTCGGCCCCTTGACCGGTCTGATGGTCGTTTTCAGGGGGCGTTTCTTTTTGGGGGGTTTAGGGTTTACGTTTAGGGTTGAGGGTCAAAGGTCATGGTATATCCCGAACAGAATGAAGCCCCCCCCCTACCGCCCCCCCCCCCCTCCCCGCCCCACCCCCTCCCCGCCCCACCCCCTCCCCGCCCCACCCCCTCCCCGCCCCACCCCCTCCCCCCCCCACCCCCCCCCCCCCTCCTTTTTGGAAACCTCCATTTTGTTTCAGGGCTAAGTTTGTTGGGTTTTTGGGTTAGTAAAGGGTTTAGGATTTACGGTGAAGGGCTTAATTAGGGTTTCGGGTCGAATTAGGGTTGAGGTAGGACTTGGGCCTTCTGGGAGTGAAGGGTCAGGCCTTTAAGGCTGTCAGCGCTTTCAGACTTCAAGCTTCGTCTGAGGGTTTAGCGCTTAGGCTTTAGACTTTAGGTGTTTTTGATTTCATGTCTTTAAGGTTTGCAGGCTCAGGGTGTTGCCGCCCAAGTGGGGTTCTGATAGAGTTGAGGCCTGCAGGCCTGTACCAAGGCCCCCCCCCCCCCGCCAAAACAAAAAGCAATTAGGCCCGTAAGCTCCACTACCTTTATCTCCTGAAGACCTGAAGATGTATTTGGGGGTTATATACACAGTGGTTCCCTGCACCCTGAACCCTAAACCCCCTAAACTCTAAACCCTAATGTATTGAGGGGCTCTATATAGGGGTTGACTCTGCAACCCTCCTCACGCACGCGGAGGCAATGAGAGGGCGCGGCGTTTTCGGGTTCGGAGATTGGGACTTAGGGCTCAAGGGTGTTTAGGGTTTGGGGTTCAGGGGTTTAGGATTTGGGGGTCTAGTTTAGGGTTCAAGGTTTAGGTGGCTTTAGGGTAGTTTTAAGGCCTAGGGTTTTGGGCTTTAGAGATTTTCGGGGCTGACCCACTTCCGAAATACCCTGACATGCCCTAACATACCCTAACATACCCTAATATGCCCTAATATACCCTAATATCCCCTAATATACCCTAATATACCCAAACACTAATACCCTGATACCTTAAACCCTGAACCCTAAACCTTAAACCCTAAACCCGAAACCCTAAACCCCAAACCTCAAACCCCAAACCCATCGTGAGGCTTAGATGAGGACATGATCCTCCACAGGCAGATTGGGAGCCGCTTTGGCTACACCCTAAGCCCCACTAAACCCTAAACCCTAAACCCTAAACCCTAAACCCTAAACCCTAAACCCTAAACCCTAAACCCTAAAGCCTAAACCCTAAACCCTAAACCCTAAACCCTAAACCCTAAACCCTAAATCCTAAACCCTAAGCCCTAAACCCTAAACCTTAAGCGAAGGCCATGAAGCCTATTTAGCATTTTCGATTGGGTCGTGAAGGCTCCTCACAACCTCAGGGTTTAGGGTTTAGGGTTTGGGATAGAACCCAGAGTCCACAGCGAGTGCTCAGAGCCATGCCCCTGTGCAGCTGTGACTCTTATTCCTTGGGATGTTCGCCCTTATACTAACTGTCCTGAATCGGGATTAAAGTACCCCCTTCTATAATGCCTATTAAGGACTGTTAGTCACATCCCAACTTATTCCCATGGTACGTTCTTTTTTTCTTCTTCTGCTTCATTCTTGCTCCACCCATCCCGCCGATACAAAGGCGAAACAATGACTTTGTAGGTAAACTTTCAATATGTTAGAGCCTTTATCATACTAGACTGCTACTGCTACTACTACTACTACTACTACTACTACTACTACTACTACTACTACTACTACTACTACTACTGCTACTGCTACTGCTACTGCTACTGCTACTGCTACTGCTACTGCTACTGCTACTGCTACTGCTACTGCTACTGCTACTGCTACTACTACTACTACTACTACTACTACTACAACTCCTACTGCTACTGCTACTGCTACTGCTACTGCCACTGCCACTGCTACTGCTACTGCTACTGCTACTGCTACTGCTACTACTACTGCTACTCCTACTACTACTACTACTACTACTACTACTACTACTACTACTACTACTACTACTACTACTACTACTACTACTACTACTACGACTATGACTACGACTACGATGACTATTACTACTGTTACTTTGTCTCCAACTATAACTATTTCGATTATTACTACCATCTATTGTTAGTTTTTTTCTATGGGTGGGGGGTCGGGAGGAGTTGTTTGAATTTCCTTTTCGTTGCTCCGTTGCTCAAAGCATCCCTGCAAAGATCGTCCAAGAAACCCTAAATCTGCCTGAGCTCTGCTGAGATCTGAGCCCTCGATCCCTTTCCACTAGGTTTCAGGGTTTAGGGTTTAGGGTGTAGCGTTTAATGGCTTGGTGTGGCCCCCCCCCGTTTAACTCCTGATGAGTTTCCCCCCCCCCCCAAACCCCCCCCCCCCCCAAACCCCCCCCCCCCCCCCAACCCAAACCCCCCCCCCCCCCCCCCCCCCCCAAACCCCCCCCCCCCCCCCACCCCCCCCCCCCCCCCAACCCCCCCCCCCCACCCCAACCCCACCGCCCCCCCCCCCAACCCCCCCCCCTCAACCCCCACCCCCCCCCCCCCTAATTCCGCACCCGTAACAGGAAAAACGGAACCCCAAACTAATTTTCGGCCCCGTCCCCCCCCCCCCCCCGGCTCCTCTTCATTTCCTCTTGGCTCATCTTCCCTCTCCTCTTCCTCTCCTCTTCCTCTCCTCTTCCTCTCCTCTTCCTCTCCTCTTCCTCTCTTCTTCCTCTCCTCTTCCTCTTAGGTAATGTTGTCTGCATATGAATTTAAAGGGGATCCATCTATCCCAACCAAGCCAGCCCGCAAAAAAAATAAATAATTCCGGTGGAGCAAAGGTTTTATATTATACGGCATTCGGGCAGCTGCTGGACTACCCCCTTGGAAATTTGATTGTCCGGCCTCGGTACAAAAGCATTTTATAAGGAAATCTTAGTTTTGGGGCTGGCCTGGAGACTGAAGATTTCAGGGCCCGACAACCTCAGGCCTCAAGGTTTAGCTCAGGTAAGCTCTTCCGAAACCCATGCCCGAAAAACTTTTCATTATAGTGGGGGGGGGCAGCCGAATCTTTGTCCCCTGAATTAGTTTTTGGAAACTTTTCATTATTGACGGGGTCCAGACTAATCAGGATACAACATTAGCGTTTAGGGTTGGAAGGTTCCTTAGGTACTGTGCCCTCAAACCCTAAGCCCTAAACCCTAAACGCTCAACTCTAAACCCGAAGCCCTGAGCCCTGAGCCCCAGGCCCTAAACCCTAAACCCTAAACCCTAAACCCTAAACGCTAAACGCTAAACCCTAAACCCTAAACCCTAAACCCTAAACCCTAAACCCTAAACCCTAAACCCTAAACCCTAGACCCTAGACCCTAAGCCCTAAACCCTAAACCCTAAACCCTAAACCCTAAACCCTAAACCCTCAACCCTAAACCCTAAACCCTAAACCCTAAATGCTTACTATCCAGGCTTCTCTGCTGGGCAGAAGTCGAAGCTGACTTTGGGCGCAGCCTTTTGGACGTGACGCGGCAGCCATGCTGGAGGGCAGTTAAGCATGGGTTTAGGGTTTAGGGTTTAGGGTTTAGGGTTTAGGGTTTAGGGTTTAGGGTTTAGGGGCTTAGGGCTTAGGGTTTGGGGTTTGGGGTTTAGGGTTTAAGGTTTCGGGTTTGGGGTTTAAGGCTCAGAGTTTAGGGTGGTAGCTCCCTAAACCCTAAGCCCTAAGCCCTAAGCCCTAAGCCCTAAACCCCTAAACCCTAAACCCTAAACCCTCATTCTAAGACTTTTGAGACAGGTCAAGGCATCTTGTAAGTTGATGGGCATCTCTGGTGTTGGAGTGTGAAAGGAATCTTTGGGGACGGCCTGACGTTGTGTCCATCCCCTGCGGCTTAAATACCCTATACCCTTAACCCTAAACCCGAAACCCTAAGCCTAAAGCCTTTACGGTAAAACTTTCAACCTAAACCTTAAACCCCATACCGCAAACTCTGAGGCGGTTTAGGGTTCAGGGTTAGGGCTTTCGAGCTGCCAAAATCCCTAGACCTCTTGGACGTGAGTCGAGGGTGTTTGAGGGCGTTGGGGTTTCATTTGGGGGTTTTGCTAGGGTTTCCGGTTTGGGGTTGGGGTTTTTGGGCCAGTTAAAGAATCCCAAAGACAGGCTGGTTCTTAGTAGGGAATGAGGGAATGAGGTACCCTATATAATCCCTTAAAGGATAATATAGGGGCCCGAATTCCCTCGTTCCCTAGTAAGAGCCAGGGGGAAAAGAATCCCAAAGCGACTGCTTTCAAGTATGTTCCTATTCCAAAGCATGACAGTGTGCTTTATTGAGCACTTCACAAAGGTATGGCCACTGGCAGGGTGTAGGAACCCTAAACCCTACACCCTAAACCCTAAACCCTACACCCTAACCCTCAACCCTAAACCCTAAACCTTAAACCCTAAACCCTAAACTCTAAACCCTAAACCCTAAACCCTAAACCCTAAACCCTAAACCCTAAACCCTAAACCCTATGCCCTAAGCCCTAAACCCTAAACCCTCAATTGACCCTAGGTTTATTGGGATAAACGCTAAGGCTGTGGACCTTGGCTTGTTGTAGAATTATGGTATAGGGTACCTCCGAAAGGCCTCGAAAGGATATGGGTAAAGCAGTTAGTCTCCTAAAATGTGATGTTGTATTGCTCGTCTTGCGTGACCTCCCCAGGACAGGCATGAGGCTCAAATTCTGTGATACTTAAGCAGTCTATTGCCTCGTTGAACACGGATATCGTGGCTTGTTTGTTGACGCAGCAGAACAAGTGGTTTTGCAGGAGTCCGCGATTTCAATCTGACTGCGCGTGATAGGTAAGGAAGATTGCGTGGTTGTGCTTCCCGAGTCCGCTGGGATAGAATGTCCATCACTGTAGATGTGAGCCTTATGAGTGGCAGGAAGCTTGGTCATAGTTGGGTAACATTTTACATGTTTAAGGGTACTTAAACCCAATAAGGAATACATTTTTAAACTTTTAATACGATCCCAACCATGAACTAGGAAGGTTTCTGTGGAAGCCAGCCTGGATTCTTCTGTGCAAGCGTTGAAGCGGTCTGCGGAAGCTGCCTTGGGCGTGGGCAAGGGGCAGCTCCTGGACGCCTCGGGTTGTGTTCTGCATGAGCAGGCCACACTCGAGAAGCTCGACCTGCGTAGCGGCGCTTCATTGACGCTGCAGATACGCAAGGTTCAAATTTGCTGCACTAAAGCCATGGGCTTCCTGGACGTCCACGATGGAGCAGCCTTTGCAGCTGTCCTGGGCGATGGATCCGCCGTGTCCTGGGGCCATGCTTATTCTGGTGGCGACAGCAGTGCTATACAAGATCAGTTGACGAATGTGCAACAGATTCAAGCCACTGGTTACGCCTTTGCTGCGATACTGGGTGATGGATCTGTCGTGACTTGGGGCAGTGCTGCCTTTGGTGGGAACAGCCGTGATGTACAACATCAGCTGAAGAACGTACAGCACATCCAAGCTACGCAACATGCCTTTGCTGCGATACTGTGTGGTGGGTCTGTCGTGACCTGGGGCAATACCTCCTATGGCGGGGACAGCATGCTGACGCACGTGCAACACATCCAAACCACCTGTCTCGCCTTTGCTGCGTTGCTGCGTGATGGATCTGTCGTTACCTGGGGCAATGCTGACTCTGGTGGCGACAGCAGTTCTGCGCAAGATCAGCTCAAGCACGTGCAATACATCCAGGCTACTCGACGTGCATTTTCCGCAATACTGGGTGATGGGTCCGTCGTGAGCTGGGGCGATGCTCAATATGGTGGGGACAGCAGTCCTGTACAAGATCAGCTGAAGAACGTGCAACACATCCAAGCCACTGGTTACGCCTTTGCTGCGATACTGGGTGATCGGTCTCTCGTGACCTGGGGCACTCCTGACTATGGTGGGGACAGCCGTGCTGTACAAGAAGAACTGAAGAACGTGCAGCAAATCCAAGCCACCAGTTACGCGTTTGCTGCGCAACTGTGTGATGGATCCGTCGTTACTTGGGGCAATGCGGACTTTGGTGGCGACAGCAGTGCTGTGCAAGATCAGCTGAAAAACGTGCAGCAGATCCAAGCCACCCCTTGCGCCTTTGCTGCAATACTGGCTGATGGATCCGTCGTGACCTGGGGTGATGCTGACTGTGGAGGCGACAGCAGCGCTGTGCAAGATCAGCTGAAGAACGTGCAACACATCCAAGCTACTCTGCGTGCCTTTGCTGCAATACTATGTGATGGATCCGTCGTGAGCTGGGGCAGTGCTGACCATGGAGGGGACAGCAGTGCTGTGCAAGATCAGCTCAAGCACGTGCAATACATCCAGGCTACTCGACGTGCCTTTGCTGCAATACTATGTGATGGATCCGTCGTGACCTGGGGCGGCAGTGCTGACCATGGAGGGGACAGCAGTGCTGTGCATGATCAGCTGAAGAACGTGCAACAGATCTAAGCCGCTTTCGCGCCCTTGCTGCAGTCGTGGGCGTCGCATCTGTCGTTGCGTTTAATTAGGGTTTAGGGTTTAGGGTTTAGGGTTTAGGGTTTAGGGTTTAGGGTTTTAGGGTTTAGGGTTTAGGGTTTAGGGTTTAGGCTTTGTGCGACCTTGGGTGCCTGCTGACCGCTCTGGCGACAGCGGTGCTGTAGAAAATTGCAACACATCAGCATGCGTTTGCAGACTGGAGGATGGACCTGGCGGTTTCCGAGAAGAGGGGGTACCCTTTTTGGGGGGTTCCTAAAATAAGGATTGTAGTACGTTAGGGGGTACATGAGGGGTACCCCTATGTTTGGGAAATGGCCATCTATTTTTGACTTTAGGGTTTAGGGTTGAGGGGTTTGGGGTTTAGGGTTTAGGGCCAGGCTTAGTGCTGCAATGGCAACAGTGCTGTACGAGTCCATACTCGGGATCGATCTTGTTGATGTGGGCGACGGAGGGGCTGAGCACTGTGTAGGGTTTAGGGTTTAGGGTTTAGGGTTTAGGGTTTAGGGTAAAGGGTTCAGGGTTCATTTACGGGTAGTATGGGCCCTAAAAAGGGTACCTAATGTACCCCTTATATACCCCTTGTATGCCCTGTACAAATCAAGGGCCCACACATCAGAACCCTTCAAAGGAGGTTAGGGACAATACCCCTAAACCCTAAACCCTAAACCCTAAACCCTAAACCCTAAACCCTATACCCTCAGAGTTCAGAGTTCAGGGTTCAGGGGGCTTGCGGGCTGCCCAAATCCCTAGACCTCTTGGACGCGAGTGGAGGGTGTTTGAGGGTGTTTGAGGGTGTTTGAGGGTGTTTGAGGGTGTTTGAGGGTGTTCGAGGGTGTTTGAGGGTGTTTGAGGGTGTTTGAGGGTGTTCGAGGGTGTTTGAGGGTGTTCGAGGGTGTTTGAGGGTGTTTGAGGGTGTTTGAGGGTGTTTGAGGGTGTTTGCGGGTGTTGGGTTTAAATTTGGGATTTGCTAGGGTTTCGGGGTTTAGGTGTTTAGGTGTTTAGGTCCGGATTCCGACATGGGTTTTAAGGGGGTGACGTGTGTTTTAAGGTGTGGGGTCCTCCCATCGAAAGCTGAATCAGGTACTCCAAGCCCAACCGAAGTCCCTACCTTAAGAACCCAAAACCTACTAACCCTAAACCCTAGACCCTAGACCCTAGACCCTAGACCCTAGACCCTAGACCCTAGACCCTAGACCCTAGACCCTAGACCCTAGACCCTAGACCCTAGACCCTAAACCCTAAACCCTAAACCCTAAACCCTAAACCCTAAACCCTAAACCCTAAACCCTAAACCCTAACCCCAGTCAGGAAGCCGCACCTGATTGCCTTGGATGAGCCCACGCAGCTGGGACCACGAGGGCTATGTTTAGGGTTTAGGGTGTCGGGTTTAGGGTTTAGGGGGGGGACATCTGGGTGCCATTTTTGCAACATCCTAGCTAGAACCCTGGTTGTGGATAATTGTCGGGGAGGGTCGAAAGGTGCACCCCTTAACCGCAAAATGGGCTTCGGGTGTAGTACATCTCAAGCCCGAAGCCAGCCCCTCATGCCAGCCCTAAGCCCTAAACTCCTAGTTTAGGATTTAGGGTTTAGGGATCGTCGGGTTTGCCGTTTCAAAGGCTCTCGGTTAGTTCCCCTCCCTCTCTGCGTGGGGTTGTTAGGTTTCAAATGAACCTCTTCTCCTTACCCGGCCTGCACCCGTCTCCCGCCCCCCAGACGATGCCCAGAGTGTCCCTCTCGAGTGCCAAGCACCAGAGTCGGCTCGCAAATTCCTTGCCCGCAGGGTTTAGGGTTTAGGGTTTAGGGTTTAGGGTTTAGGGTTTAGGGTTTAGGGTTTAGGGTTCAGGGATGCTCCAGGTAAACTGATGTGTTTTTTTTTCTTTGGGGCTGTCCATGGTATGATCTGGGAATGAGGGGGGGTCAGCGCTTGGGGCAGTTGCATGCTGCCGCTGTTGCTGGGCATACTCTCAAGAGCCTGTAAGACTCCAATGCCTACCATCCTGGGAACCTTGCTTTCCAGACCCTGGCCCAAAATCCCTAAACCCTAAACCCTGAACCCTAAACCCTAAGCCCTAAACCTGAACCCTAACCAAGGAACTACATCGACATGGAGACGCTCGATGCATTGGTGCAAGGGCTGGCGAGATACAAGGGTGGCATCATCGCGCCTCGTCTCAGAGAGGTTGCTGGCATTCGTTTTACAGGGTAGGCTTGAACATTTTTATGACGCCCTTAAGGCCCCATATAAATCCTTACAAAGCCATAAACGTTCATTGTTTTATACAAACCTTCTGTCCCCAGTTTAGGCGTTTAGAAGTCCTACTTCCCCTACACCCAAGCCCATCTAAACTCTAAACCCTAAGCCCCCTAAACCCTTAAGCTCTTTGAACACCCTAAGCCCTCTAAACGCCCTAAAGCTCCTAGACCCTCTACACTCCGTGAACCCTTGAACCCCGTAATTTGGGATGTTACCTTTATCAGGCCTTAGTGGCGATTATAGTTCCCCCTAGTATACTCCCTATTAGGGACTGCTAGTGTAAGGGCGAGTATCCCAACCCGAAACCCTAAACCATGAACCCTAAAGCCTAAATCCTCCGAGGTCATCTCCCACGCCAGCGAGTTTGTCAACCAAGTGTGCAACGAGATCTGGAAGGCGGGTTTAGGGTTCATTTAGGCTTCAGGGTTTATGGTTGGCCTCATTGTGGGGGGGGGGGGGGGGGGGCGGGTGAGGGGTGTTAAGGGGTTTCTGGGTTTTAGGGGTTTATCCCCCAATTGCCTAAGCCTGAACCCCTAAACCCTAAATATCTAACATTGGAACCATGCCCTTAGTATGGTCCCTTACCCTTGTTTAAAGGGATTTAAAGGGATGCGGAGTATGGGCCCTTATTATGTACATTGTACGTAAGGGTTACATAACAGGGGACCCAAATTAAGGGCCCATACTTCGGACCTAAACCCTAAACCCTAAACCCTAAATCTTAAACCCCAAACCCTAAACCCTAAACCCTAAGCCCTAAACCCTAAACCCGAAACCCTAAATGAAGCCAACAAGCCACGGACGCCCTGGGAGGTCGAAGGTGGCGGAATTGCCGAGCGAACCAAGCAGGAGCTGAAGAAGTGAGCGGGAGGCTACTGCGCCTTAAGGCCTACCCGAAGCCAGAAGCCCAAGCCAGGGCAGAAGACCCTATGGGGTTTAGGGTTTAGGGTTTATGGTTTAGGGTTTATGGTTTAGGGTTTAGGGTTTAGGGACCCTAAACCCAAAACCCCCCCTAACGCCTAAACCACTACTAGGCTCCAGCGTTAGCAGCTTATTTGGGGTGTGTGGCGGGGTCTACTAAAGGGTTCAGAGTAATCGCTGACAGTATTCCCTTATGGTCCCCACATATGTCTACTATAATCACCCCAAAACCCAAAACCATAAACCCTAGACGCTAAACCCTAAACCTAAACCCAAAACCCTACAGAAATTAAGCTCTGTACATTGCTGAGTTTAAGGTTCAGGGTTGAAGGGCTCAGGGTTCAGGGGGTTAGAGTTTTAGGTGCTCAGGGGCTTGGGGCTTAGGGGCTTAGGTTTTGGCGTTCATAGGCTTAGGGTGTAGGGTTTAGGGTTAGGTGGCTTGGAGTTTAGGGGTGTTTAGGGGCTTGCGGCCTAGGTTTTTCTCGAGGTCTCAAGGGGTTTAGGGGCTCAAGTCGTTATATCCATCCATCTATCTATCTATCTATCTATCTATCTATATATTATATAGACATAGACTCATTTTCTTGCATACTGGAGGCACCGCATCCCCAACATGCACCGTGTCATTTAAGCCCTAAACGTTAAACCCTAAAACCCTAAACCCAACACATAAGCTTTGACATCAACCCGACGTCAACCCTACACCCTAAACCCTCAACTCCGAGAGTAAGCCTCCCGCGCCTGCAAACACCAGTGCCGCGTCGGAGCAAGACGAGGAAGAGGAGGGGTCAGGTCACGGGGGGGCCGCTGATTGGGCTTTTTGTAGGTGCCTTGGGAGAACACCTTAAACCCTGAAAATCAGAATTCTTAAGCCCTAACAACGAAGCCTTACACCCTAAGCCCTCGACCCTACGCCCTGAATCCTGAGAACAACCTGTGGCTGCCCAGCGGAACGCCCGTGTCGTGCCTGCAGTAGACACACCCGGGCCAACACAGAAGTAGATGAGTAGGTGACCTTGAACCTTTTGGGGTATAGAAAATCCTACCAAGTTTAACCCTTGTTGCCCAAGGTACTCCGCAACTAGGTATTCCACTATCATGGTATAGTCTTTGTCTCGTATAGCAGTACAATAGCTAGTATTTAGTGTCATGGCAGGGAGTACCATAGTGTAATAGTATTTTCGAGACTCGTACCATCGTATGATAGTGGGTTTAGAGTTTAGGGTTCGGAGTTTGGGGCATGGGGCCTGGGGGTGCTGACCCTTGCGATGTTTTGTATTTTGCCTTACTGGGTTTTATGGGGATCATAGAATATTTTATGTCTTTGCGAATTTCGGCTTGGAGTTTTCGAGTGCTTGAGAGGGTGGGGAAGGATAGACGGGCCAAAGCCTAAGCCTAAGGCCCTAAAGCTTAACCTTCGCTAAACCCCAGCCCCAAACCCCATACCCCATACCCCATACCCCAAACCCCAAACCCCAAACCCGAAACCCTAAACCCTAAACCCTAAACCCTAAACCCCAGATTCCCGGTTGGCTCGGGTGGGTTGTAGAACCGCAGGTGCCAAACCTACCCAGCGGTGCCAATTTTCCCTGAAGCCCAGGCCCTTAAGCAAGTTTAGGGTTAGGGGTTTAGGGTTAGGGTTTAGGGTTTAGGGTTTAGGGTTTAGGGTTTAGGGTTTAGGGTTTAGGGTTTAGGGTTTAGGGTTTAGGGTTTAGGGTTTAGGGTTACCTGAACCCCAAATCTTGAAACCCTTGAACCCTAAACCCTAAACCCTAAACCCTGAACCCTTAAACCCTAAACCCCAAACCCTGGACCCCAGGCCCTGAAAATGATCAAGGCCATAAGCCTTGCACTCTCGTAGAAGCTTATGCCTGTTCTGCAACTCCAAACCCTAGACCCTGAACTCTAAACTCTAAACCCCAAACCCCAAACCCTAAACCCTAACCCCCAAACCCTAAACCCTAAACCCCAAACCCTAAACCCCAAACCCCAAACCCTAACCCCCAAACCCCAAACCCCAAACCCTAAACCCCAAACCCTTGGGAACCTGGGACTGTTCTGCCAGGTTTTCATGTGCAGACATGAGGGGCTCCGAACTTCTCAGCGGTATCGGGTTCAGGGTTCAGGGTTTAGGGTTTCAGGGTTTTAGGGTTTTAGGGTTTTTAGGGTTTTTAGGGTTTTAGGGTTTTAGGGTTTTAGGGTTTTAAGGGTTTTAGGGTTTTAGGGTTTTAGGGCTTTAAGGGTTTTAGGGCTTTAGGGCTTTAGGGTTTTAGGGTTTTAAGGTTTTAGGGCCAAACCTTGAACCCCGCACGGAACCTAGGCCCTAAACAGAGGTTAAGGGTTTAGGGTTTAGGGTTTAGGGTTTAGGGTTTAGGGTTTAGGGTTTCGGGACGCAGAAGAAGGCTGGTAAGCTTACTGGTCCGTTCCAGCTGGAGCGTCCCGGTCTTACTCATCAGGCTCGTGTGTTAGCAAACCTTTTGGGCTCCCCAAAGCCCTAAACCCCTAAACCCCCCAAACCCCTAAACCCCCCAGCCCCCTTAACCCCCCACACCCCTTAAACCCCTAAACCCTCAAGCCCCCTGCCGCCTCAGCCTTTCCCTCCTCCAGTTGGGGACAGCATCCGGAGCCGCGAGGGCGCCAAAGAAGTGGCAGTGTTTCGGTTCGCGATCGTCGGGGAGGAAGTTGAACCATGCAATCCCCAAGAGTTGAAAGAAGCCCTAAAGTAGTTTGGGGTTTAGAAAGGTTTAGGGTTTAGGGGTACGGGTTATAATAGGGCTTCGGGTTAATCAGCGACCCCAAACAGCCTTCAGCCCTAAGCGCTCATGCGATCAAAAGCAATTAGCCTCGCTACCGGAGCACCAGATCTCCGACCCGAACCGCTGAAAGTAGAGAGCCGCCTTCATTCCTAAACCCTAAACCCTAAGCCCTAAACCCTAAACCCGGGTAATCGGCAACAAAAGCTGCGCTTCTGGGGGGATGTAGGTAACTTGAGAAGCCTTTGATCCCCGCGTCTTTAAGGGTTTAGGGTTGAGGGTCCAGGGTTATATGGGCCCGTAGTATGGTCCCTTACCCTCCTTTACAGGGTTCCGATGTATGGGCTCAATAGTTTTTTGTAGGGTTTGTGAGGGCGAAATCAGGGGTACCCTTTTAGGGGCCCATACGAAGGCACCATGTAATTAGCCTTAGACAGCCCTGCATCTCAACCCCCGCAGAGCAGACACCACAAAAGCTCCAAAGTTCCTTCAAACCCCCTGAACTGGGTTTCGGGTTTAGGTGGGGGTTTAAAAGGGTTGGGGGTTAAAATTCCTCAAGCCCTGTAGCCCTACACCCTCAACCGCCCCTCCCCCCCCCCAACCCCACCCCCCCACGGCAGGACTTCAACTCTGGCAAAGCCCAGGAGAGGTACAACGACGTCTGCAAGCAGGAGGAGATTCTGCAGGCCGGTGTCTGGCAAACCCTGCAAACCCTCTAAGCTCCGTAAGCCTAGTCGCCCTGAAGCCCTTACAGTGAAGGTTGGGTCACCAAAAACCGAGGCACCAGGTTCATGCCTTGGGGTTTAGGGTGTAGGATTTAGAATTTAGGGCTTAGGGTTTGGGATTTGATTTTTGATGACTCTTTTTTTTTGTGAGTTTTTTGTTGGCGGTGGAGCTGCACATCGCCAGGCGATTTCAAACTGGGAAGCTGGGTTTTGGGGTAGCCCTAAACCCCTAAACCCTATGCCCTAAGCCCTGAACCCTTAGCCTAAGCCCTAAGCCCTATACCCTCCTTCAAGCCCCCCAAAGCTCCTTCGCTCTACCACCCCTCAACCTCGGAAGCCCTAGTATACGGGCATACGGGTATGCGGTCTATTCGGGTATTTTATGACTCCTTCTGGGTCAAGGAGTGACTTTAAATCCTAAACCCGAAACCTTCACATGCGAATTGCAAGCGGATAGTGCAAGCATGTAGGCTGCTGTTGTCGGTTCTAGGGAAGACCTTAAACCCTAGACTCCTAAGCTCCAAACCCTACACGCCCTAGACCCCCTAAACCC